CTGGACGGCTGTTTTTATAACTCAAATCTAGCACTAGAGTCAGAGAGTCTAGAGCAATCCCAATACGGCAGACTCTTTCCAAAACTTCAATAGACAATGGTTAACTTGTGGAAAGTCTCTTATTTGCAATAACAAAATCTTACTACTTAAATTACTTCAAATTTGAAAAGAAAAACCTGTGCTTTGAATGATCGTTGCTCCTATGAGAAAGTGCTTATATATGGCACATAAAATGCCATGATATGATGTGGTTTTCCACTTTCTAGAACGTCTCTAAATAATTCAGACCTATTATAGCGTCAATCTTACGAGAGCGAAGAGCGTGCAGTAAGTTAAGGTGGTAACAGTAAAGTTAAATACAATCATCAACCTTACAGAGGATCGTTAGGTGGTATAGTTCGTTGCACAGATTAGTATTTAACTTAGATCTCAGACAGATTGGTTCAGTTTCTGTTAAATAATTCAGGATCAGAAGAAATGAAATCAGAAAAAATAATAATAAAATATTAGGAAGCAAACAATTACAGTTTTGCTCGTCAATCTGAAATTATAAGCATTGCCCTAATATAAAACCTCTTCATATTTCTAAATTAACCTAGAATAAAAAAGAGAAGTACAGTCGAATAACAAGTACAGGATCCAGCTCGATTACAAAGGAAAAGACATAGAATGTATATAAATTGATGTGCTGCAATTCGTCTTCGATAGCAAATTGTCACAGTGAAGGATTAACAAAATAAAGGAAGATTATATTATCTGTTGACATGTATTGCTACAAACATCTAAATGTTAAAACATTCAAAGTTTCCTGGCTGTGTATTTCCAATGCAATTATATTTTCAAAAGAAAWGTTGTAGAAGTGCCTATAAACATAGTTATAGGTTCGACATCAAAACATGATGAATTACCGAGAAATTCCCCAAAAATATACTTTGACACTATTAGTTCATTACTAAATAGTGCATAATAACTTCTACTTACCTTTTGACATAAAGGCGCCAACACTCAAACACACCAAAATTATAAGCTTAATGATAGATTTAATGCTCATGAGAGAACTTGCATTTGAAGAATTTGTTCTGAATTCACCTCTCAGACGATTCATTTTATATTTATACAGTTACGAGTGTAATTGAATAATTGATATTTTGAAAAAMATGAATGCATATTGTTTCTAACGCTGTGCATGGATCGGAGCTGGAGGTGTAACAATAGATGTTATAAAACTAACGACTGTTAGCAAAGATACATATCAGGGGAGTTCCATTTTGGACTTWYAAAWGTTGTTTTTCCTCACAAAGCACTCTTAAGCACGGGAAATCCTTGTCGACTACGATTCAGAATTAACATGAACCAAATAAAACACCTTTTTGGACGCGTTTCAATTTTTATTCTTTTTTTAATATTTTATTTTATGCTCAAGTGTTTTGCAATTTGTAGACGTAAAACCTCTTTTTTATATATATGGAATAGCTGCGAGTAAATTGTGTGTAAAATATGGAGAARTGCAGATAAAACTTGTGAGATTTCAAACTATTTTCTTTGTCTTCTATACCYATAACAGAYCTCTTGCATTTGCACGGKCYGYCGTWCTGAATAGAAGGATATATCACATTGTTTGTAGGATGACATGTAAAAGAGATTTCTAAAAGGGTATATATTTATACTCACAGTACGAATAAATATTATGAATATTGTAATAAGCTGTACCATAGATTTATGCCCGATTTATGTAACTAGTTTTGGCCCAATCTCAACACTCATACTTAGGCCTGATGTAGACGACTTAGCAGTTTTGGCATGACACTCCAAAATTTGGGACCGCCTCCAAACACTTGACATATTTTCTAGTAACAATTTTTTGATGGAAATATTGCACGGAACTCTCAGATCTATCATGCTAGCTAGCTTTTTAATTAGCTCGYAAAATAAGCTTACCTTAATTTTGGCAAATGTATATAGATATTTRCAATAAGGCGTTTTGATAATATTGTAATCACGCCGGCAAAAATTATTTAAGTAATCTAAATATGAATTAGAAAGACATAGGGATCAAGTAACTTTAACCAAATGTGTATTCAGTGTATTGCTAAATGTTTATCATGTGGACGATGTGTTTGAAACGTTAAGGAAAAATTAAACAAAATTGCWGACTGYAAAAATGTCCATGCATGTAGGTTTAAAATAAGTTCTCAAAGAGCCTTACGAAAGATTCATATTGCTTCGAGAAGCTTCCTTCATCYTAACTGTGGATTGCAATACTTATTAGTTTTAGATCTTGCACTTTCTTCACTTCAACTRCAGAGCATTTCAGCCAGTTTTCCAAATTCCTCTTCAGTAAGTTCTGYTTGTAATTCCTGTTTTGATAAGACAAGTTCAGAAGCGCGAGATTTGCTCCTTGAGGATGCCGACCATTGAATCACAACATAGATTTCTGACAGCACACTTCGATCCATTAGGTATGCAGCGGCTTGGTAAGCAATGTAGGCACATTCCAAATGAACGTGCAGCAAATAATCAGCTAGGACTCGAATCATYAGAAACCTCTGACCTTCGATGCCGCGCTTTACTAAGGATCCTGTCACAGCACTAGCTTGTTTGGTTGGCTTCCCCAAAATGACCATCAAAAGCTTCATGAATTTCTTTGCCTCATCGTCATCAGTGTAGAACTGTGGSCCATTTTCCCATTCCTTCAGAACAAAATCGTAAATTGCATCGCAGTAGGTCTCATGTATTCGTCCAGTCCACAGAAGACACTCTATGAAGAAAGGGTTGGTGAGATGGTTCTGATGCTCCAAGGAATTCAAGTCTAAAGCATCATCATCACTAGTGTTTTTCGGATGAAGAGTCAAAAATACATTGAACACTGCAAGGGTTACAGCACTGCTCTCGGTAACTTTTAGTTGGTCTTTTGATAGAAACTCTTCTATCATTGAAAGAATTGAGCTTGGTCTTAGACGTTCTTCCTGTTGCAGAATCACTGAGACTTCAGCTAGAGACAGATGCAACCTATCACGTGACTCTTTGCTGATCGAAGCTTGATGTAGGATTTGAGCCTTTTTAAAAAGGGAAGTAGCTTCTCG